CACAAAAGATAGTGATGGTGATAAGCAGTGTAATGATCAGAGATGCACATGCCAAACCACCACTGTAAAATCATTTTTCATCCTTTTTGGAGGTTTTTTTTTCCTTCCTCCCTCCCCCACAACTTGTGTCCGATCACATTCAATCCCTCAACTTTTTTGTTTTTTTTCAGTAATTATCCCTCCACTCTTTTCATCACTAAACTTGGTCACATATTACTTTACCCGTTAAGTTAGCCCAAAACAAATTGTGAAGTGAAAAGGGAAAAGGAAAGGAAAGGACAAATTTTGTAGAGAGTAGCGGCAGGGGGCGACGGCGGCAGAGAGTTAGTGATGATCTGCGAGGGGTTAACGGCATCGGTGAGTTTGCCCACCGTAGAAGAGTAGTGATTGTAGATAGAAAGGAATTCTTTGTGCCAAGGAAGCATAAACTCGTGGTCTGGGCCTTAGGGAGATGCATGTAGTTGTATAGAAAGATTCGCGCTTAGTGAGGATTTGGGAAGAGAATTGGCTGTGTACAAGTCAGATTAAGGCTTAGAGTTGGAGACACACTAGATATGGCTGTTGCAAACATTAGGACATTCCAAAAAATGGTAAGTTTGGATCTTTACGAAACAAAAGTGTTCGCCCAATTCTGTTTTCGAAAAAAAAAAAAAAAAAAAAATGCATTGACAACCATTTTTGGAGAAACTTTTAGCAAGTTATTTTTCATTTTTATCGTTACAATAGTTTAGAAATCAAGAAGCACAAAATTTTAGTATTGTTTGGGTAGAAGAAAATCGTCAGAAATTTGGGTTTAATTGAATTTCGTGTTCACCAAATTTAATGGAGGATTGAACAATGACCCAATTCACAATGTTGAGGGGTAATTTGGTCCAAAAAATTGCCTCAAAAATCATTATACGGTGTTCAGCTAAAATACACCCCCCCCCCCCCCCCCCAAGGATAATTGAGAGGGGTTTCTTGCTAAACGTCGAGGGGTTTTTTGCAAATGAGCAATAGTCGAGGGGAGTCTTTTGAAATTTGCCCTTATATCAATTTATTTATCTTATTTAGTTGGATTTTTTTATTTAATATAAATTGCATTGTAACATTTCTACAAATATAAAGTGAATGAACAAATATATTCACTTCAATGGGTTGCCAAATGATTATTTTTTTCAGTTTGCTTGTTTGAGTTTTAGATTTGAAGCCTAGCTCCTTGCGTTTTTTTATTTAATTATGCTATTTTTAGCCTAAAGCACATGGAGGGAAATTGGCCTAGTGGAGGTAAATAGATGACGTGCCTGAATGGAAGTGGGGCTTAATGACACGTGGAGGTAAATGGATGATGTGCATGCAAGGAGTGAATGAGTTTCATATGAATCTGTGAATTCCAAAATATTTGCGGATTCCCATGCGGTCCCCTGCAATGAGTTCCTATATGGTTTATATTTGGCCACATCATTCACCACTATTTGACAATTGAGACCGTGTTTGGCAATTACACCACTATCTATAAGTAACATTTGACCACCATTTATAAGTTACATGAAATGAGTCTAAAAGTAATATCACCATTTATGCGCATACCTTAATTTGAGACTCCTGTGATGTTATTTATAAATGGTGGTGTAATTGTCAAACACAGTATGTTGAATTGAGTTATGTTTGTATGTGACATTACTTAGTTTGCATTATGTGCATACCTTATTTTTAGGGTGAAAATACTTAGAGCATCTCCAATGGTGTGCTATATTGGCTGTCATTTTCAAAATATAGTAGGTGGGCTTAAAATGGGCTCTCTAATGATGTGCTATATGGGCTGCCAATTTTTAAATTTGCTAAATCTGGTGCCAAATGTGGCACAACAAATAGCTACTGCTATTTCAGAAAGAGAACGGCACAAAGAGGGAGATAGAGAGGGGGGGGGGTATTCAGATATATATATATATATATATTGTGTATATATATATATATTTAAAAAGATCATAAAAAATTTCACCAAATAGGATTTATTTTGCAAAACAAGAATTACAGACCTTGATTAGTTAATTTAGAAAAAAAATTAAAACAAAACCCATACATACAAGTTAGCAGTTGCAGAGAGAGAGAGCCAGCTTGAGAGTTGAGAGACAATGGCTGAAGCTTGCGAATGACGAACCTGAATTGGAATAGCGGGCGATGGAAACTGAAAGATATGGGTTTTGATTTTTTGAACAATCTGAAATGATATAACGATATGGGTTTGAACTTCTGATTGTTGTATATTTTGTAGTTTGCAGTTACAAAGGGGCAAGTTCAGAGAGAGAGAGAGAGAGAGAGGGGGGGGGGGGGGTTCAAATATATATATATATATATATATATATATATATATATATATATATTTTTACAACATAAAAAATTTCACCGAATAGGATTTAGTTTGCAAAGCAAGAATTACATACCTTGATTAGTTGATTTAGAAAAAAAAAATTTAAAACAAAACCCATACATACAAGTTAGTAGTTGCAGAAAAAGCTTCTGATTCTTGTAGATTTTGTAGTTTGCAGTTGCACAGAGAGAGAGAGAGAGAGAGAGAGAGAGAGAGAGAGAGGGGGGGGGGGGGGGCAAGTTTAGAGTTAAGAACGAGAATAGAGATTGAGGCGATTGGGGAGGCTGAAATGATTTTTGGTAGGGTTTGCTTGTTATGTAAATGACAAGTTTATCCATTCATATTTATATAATTTACATTCACATCTTTTACATTGAATTTGATAATTAAATTTTTTTTATATTTTTAATCAGGCAAATAAGCTAAATAAAATACAACTCAAAAAAAAAAAAAAAAAAAAAATGATTGTTGAAAATTGGTTGTTAGAAAAAAAAATGGTTGTTGTTTAAAAAATAACATTTTGGATGAAATGCACCATTAAAGCAAAGTTGCTAAAATATAGCATTTTGACACTGTAACTCCTGTCAAAATATAAATTTGGCATGCAAAAATGACATTTTGCATTGGAGATGGTCTTATAAATTGTGGTAAAAAAGATTTTTAATTTTTTGTAATTGGTGCACCCAAACTCTGCCTCAAGAGCTATTAAATGAAGAATAATGTGGCAAAATATGGACGACTTAAAACTCAACCGCACAGAATCTCACAGTATTGGATTTGAGCCATTGCAAAATTGAGTTCGCGAATTCCAAAAATATAATTCGCGATTTGTCGCCGAATTCGCTCCCAATCCGCTAAAACACGTGCGCAAAACCTTTCCCCTGTCCCACGAATTATGTGACTAAGATTCGTAAATTTGATAGCAGATTGTGCCACACAAAGAACATGTGAGCTAAAAGAACGATTCTAGAACAATTGTGGATTGTCGAGAGAGTTGGAGGATGTGAAAAGTTGAATTCTAAATTAATTATGGAGCGTTGAGAGTTCTGGGGCATTGAAAATTCTAATATATTTATGAAGAGAATTCTCTTTCGTCTTAATAGTGAAAGAGAATGCCTATATATATATATAGGGAGAATTTCATTTTTAGCTTAGAGAGTGATTGACTAAATGCTTGTCGAATTATCACAATAAAAATACACTACTGTTTTTTTGGAAAGAAATTAGAAGAAATATGTATTCTGTGCACCATTTACTATTAGACTGTTAAGCATCGTATTCTGTGCACCATTTACTATTAGACTGTTAAGCATCGTAGTAATTTTTTAAGGTGTTTCAGGTGGAAATTTGTTAAAAAAGTGAACATTTAAAATGAATAAAATTATTAAATTATTAAATGTGTTTAACGGGATTAAACATACTTCAATCTATTAAAAATATATGAGAGATTTTTTACTTAAATTTATGATCAAGTGAACATTTAACATGAATAAAATTATTAAATATGTTTAACCGGGACTAAACCTACTTCAATCTATTAAAAAAAAGTACTCTTGTAACATGAATAAAATTATTAAATGGGTTGGATAATGTCTTGACATTAAAAACACAAACTTTTAATTAAATATATTAAATGTGAATGTAAAGTGGACGGAGTCTCTAAAGTGGTGTGAGTGAGTTTCTTACTAATGACAATATATATATATATATATATATACCTTTTTGAAAAATATATCACTAAGTGAAGGAAAAAAAAAAAAAAAAAACTTTCATTCTGACATATGGGATGTGAATGTGATTTTTTAATTAATATGGAAGGTCAAAGTAATATAACTTCTAATGAAGCCAAGTATGATTTACCCTAAGAAAAACTGTTTATGCCTATGATGGAATTGGTGACACGAAAAATGATATTAACACCATGAAATATAAATTAAACAGGAAAGAAATAAAATATCAGAGAAGAAGCCATTTAATATCTGGTTGTGTTGCTCCCACACGTAGTATATGTTTTCATTCTTGAAGTGGAGTGTTTTATATTACTCTCGGTTTTACACAAACCCTTAAATTATAACGAGTGAAAGGACGAGATTTGCACAAAACCCTTAAATTATGACCGTAAGAAGCCTTTTTAATATCTTCCTAAACTCTTCTTTCTCACATGTAGGATACAAACAAAAATATCAAACTCCATCGATTTATGGGCTACATAGTCTATTTTTAGTGTACGTTTAGGTCCAGGTCTAGCAATTCCGTAATCATCATACATACGCCTCTCAAATCATCTAAATTCATGCCCGGATCCAGACTTGACCCAAATCATCTAAATTCACCAGAAAGTCTATGATTATAAGTTGGAGTAAGATTATTTTGAAAATCAAATACAAAAAATTATATTATAAAAAAATTAGTAAACCAAACACACTTTTCACAATATAGTCACCAACGATGATATCATGTCATAGTTCAATCCTTTTCCTTTATTGCTCTACAGAAACATCTACCATCTTAATTTGATTAGAATAAAAATAATTTTAGCTTTACTTTACACGCATAAACAAATTTCTATCAGAATTTGAAGATCGATAATGCTTAGTGCATCATCAACAGTCCTAAAAAGTAAAAGCATCACAACACTAAGAATATCAAGTTAAGATTAAACATTAGTTGGTTATTTTATCGTATAAAGTGAGAACACAAAATAAAATAAAAACAACACGTTGATGTAGCTGAAACTAAAATATGAATATCGAGATAGATGGTAGGAATGATTAGAAGTGATGGGATTGCTAGGGTAGTGCCAATTGATGATAAAATAAAAGAAATACAAAATTAGGTGGTAAAAAGACACATACAAATTATACAATGTAGACATGCACCAGTAAGAAAAAAAGGAAAGATTAGTTTACCTACAAAGTAAAAAAGGAACAACTGATCATTTGTGGAGCAATTATACCAAACTCACACCACCTCCAGCATCCTCAACCACGAACACCGCTTTTTGCATCTCTCCGTCTCTCTCCCCCCAAAAAGAATTTTTCATAACAACACATATTAAAGCTCTCTCATCGAAACTCAGTCTCGTCACCTGGAACCACCATCAAGCACCGGTCACCCAACTCACAGTACTTACCTGACTGCATCCACCACCGTTTTGCATCAACAATCCACTAGACCACTACTACTTGGCTCCACCACCATCCATAAACCATAATCCACCATTTTGGCCTCAAAAACAAATTCAAAATAAGACCTAAAGAGATTCTAACAAGAAGGAAAATTTTCTGCAGCCATAAAATTTAACTACTAGAAACATCAACAAATGAGAACTAGAGCATTGACATGGCTACTAATCAGTTGCTTAAGAGTACGGGGAAGTGGTTCTTTCTACGCAAACAAGTTGTTCATTATGAACCACTGACTTGTTCTTATGCACAGGTCATGATGGAAAAAATCAATTTGAGTAGCACCACATGCTGACAGAGTATGCATTCATTTGGTCACATGAAAACAAGCATTACGTTAAATTTTATTTCAAAATAATAAAGCAGCACACTATGCAAAATAGGATGTGACACATGAGAACGCAAGGGAAAAACTCGCAACACAAAAAAGAAAAAATTAATATAATAAAATAAATAAATTAATGTATAAAATGAGTGCCAGCGTCTGAAAACATCATCCAATTTTGCCCTGAAATTTTGACAGCAGACAAATTTCATAAGGCCCGTTGTGAGGCATCAAAAATGCTTTGAAGTTCTTTCTTTCAATTTCTCTCCGCTGCATATGTAAGAGATACTGGTTTTCCTTTCCTTAAATGCTTTCAAAACAAAAAGGAAAATGACTACTATTCCTATCAATCCTTTATGATTTATGTGGACAAGAAATGATTATAGAAGGTGATTTTAAAAAAAGAGTGATTATCTTCTTGTTTTTACCATATAATCTCATCATACTAAACTTGCCGGGATGACACTCTAAAGACCAAGCCTCACAAAAACAAAAAACAATTGAAACAACAATAATTGAAAGCCCTAGGCTTGTACCAGCATCTCTGCTGACCTCTATCAATTTCCTGTCATGTTTGTAGTAAAACAAATGACACTTGTAAAAGTGTATTTCCTATTCTTGGTCATTTTTGCTTTCCATCGCCTATTTCTCCATATTCTCACAGCAACAAAGAAATTGGGATATTTTCTTAAGGCAGGTCAATTGCACGGTGGAGCTTTATATAAGTTAAGCACCTATTTTTAAGGCTAGTACCTGGAATTGTCATCAAGGTATTGGTAAAAGATTCTGTACAGTTTAGTACAAAGAATAACAGAGACAATTAAAAGGCTGCAAAGTTTTGAGTTGAAGCCTAAAACTCCGTTTCATGGTTCCTAATTTCACCAATGTTGATTTATCGTTGCAATCTATTTTTGACAGGAAATGCTCAGAATTTGCCCGTTCCAATTTACCCGAATGACCACATTAATCCATATTAATATTAATAACCACATCGAAACATATAGGTTTATTCTAGTAACTGATAACCTTCTTCTTATAATGCAGAAAACTTGAATCATGCGCTGCAGGTACTGAAAGTTATATACGTGCACTGATCAGATACTCAAGGTCAATGGAATTATATTGCACAGTAAAAACAAGGAACAGAGTTAAACCAAATCGATAAGGGGTTGAGACGTTGAGAATCAATATACGGTTTATCTAAAGATTAAGTTTCTTTAGATAAAGCTAAAAACTCAAATTTTGTGCACACGTATACTTAAATGACTAGGATAATACATGCACCACACTGTCTAGCCTTGTAAAAATTTACATCTCCAATATTAATTTGGAAATTAATATTTTTAAACACTTGTTATAGCTAGGAATTGCTTTGATGTTTAGATGAGAACTTTCCTGTTTTTTTATTCATTCTTTTTTTTTTCCAACTTTATCCTTCCCAAAAAAAATAAAATCCCAAGAAAATCAGTCTCTTCCATGGAAATATAAAACCTGTCTACACAGTAGATCAAAGCATGGCATTCCTACCATCATTGCTATCAGAACTGCAATGTAATTTCATTATGGTCAAAGGAATATGACATGGATTATTGTACAGTACCAGATTCCAAATTTATATGACATCGCATTACACATTTAATCTCATTTTTCAAATGCAAATAGGCATCCAGTTTATATTGGGCTCTATATATAAACAATTAACATATAATCTTCAAAGTCTGGATGCAGATCGAAGAAATGAAAACAATCTATTCACAACATGGATTTTGAGAAGCAATACATAATCATCATAACTTAGATGGCCTTAACATTGAAATCATACCACATCAATGTCATCAACATTAAGCCAGTCAATAGACTCCTTTGTCTCAGATTTATGGTTATGGGCACATACCTGCTCGGATCCTTCACGTTCAATACTAATCACATTGATATCCTTAGATGAGTCGACAGAGCTTGTGCTCAACTGGACCCAATCTCGTGAATCTTTTGTTGATGCATCAAAGCCATAAGTTGCTTTCTTATAACTTGTAGAGATGTCTCCTCCATCATCATCCTCAAGATCACTGAATGATACATCCTCTTCATTCTCAATAGTAATGGTAGTTCCACCATTGCCAACTATCTCGGAATTTTCTTCCTTCAACCAATCATCTGTATCATCTTCATTTTTCTTTTCAAAAACCCTTGGGGAGGAACTAGAATGCAATACTTGATCATCAGTCCAACTCACTGGCCCCTCCTCAACAACTGACTTGTCAATAATTGGAATTTCATTACTTAGGACTGGGTTCTTCTCTGTCTCACAATCCTCTGCCACTTGGGAAGTGGCTGTTTGGATGGCAGATGTGTCAAGGGGCATGTATTCAGATTGAACACTGGATGTTACAGAAAGAGACTCTTCATGTGGTGAGTTACTGGCATCTTTTGAATAAGAAGTACCCATTCCAGACATGTCTTGCTCTGGCTTTGCCTTAGTTTGATTCTGCAAATCCTGTGTCAACAGGGCTCTGGCTTTCACTATCTGCATGCAGAACATCAAGTTCTAGTGCTGGGGGAAAGCAACCTAACTTTTCAAAGTAAAAGTAAAAAAACATTTGATTTTTTTTTTTCCTTTTTATTTTTTTTCCCTTTTTCTTGGCAAACTCAAACACCCGTTTTACCCTTCTTCTTTTTTTTGATAAGTAAAACAAACACCCATTTTACCCTTATAAGGACTTACCCTCAACTCCACTTTGGGAGGGAGATGAGATACCACGGGTCTACAGCCCTTGGAGGCAAAGAAACATTTGAACTTCATATGCATCAATGAATTGATGGAAACTTTCTTACTCCGGTCCATTTTCATAAGGACGGGACAGACACAAATCTAGGAGCACATACATGTAATTAACGATATACTTCATCACCTAACCAATGGAAAAATCCTTGACAATTGTTACCAGATAATAACCACTAAGAACAGTGGTCAAATACTCCCAGCTTAATCACTCAGTGACCTATGACCAAACACGCCCAACAAATATTGCAATCAAAAAGCTTCTGAAATGATAAACTCTCTTGTTAAGGAAATAAGGCAAACCACGCTGAACAAAATTAATCATTTGGCACGATACAACTTTTAACTTCTTTTTTTTTTTTAGCTCAGTCAGTAGTCCTCTTATAAAGTTGCACAATATCCTAATTTACAATGAGGAACTTTCTAAAATTGTTTCCTTGACGACATGATTGACATCAAGACAAATAAAGTAGTAATAAAAAAATAAAAATAAAATAGAGAGAGAGAGAGAGATACCTCCAGGTGATAAAATGGAACATCAGTATCATTACATATATGATTCTAATTAAAAACTTCATTATCATTTTCCTGTATATTCGATGAGGTCAGTAAACAAGCAAAAAATTAATACGTAAAACTTCTGCCAGACTAACAAACTCCTGAATAGTTAGTACGAAGGCTGTTCTCATTCAAATGTATGACTCAAACTAAGATTTAAACCAGTGGGCTACCTATCAGGAAAGAATGCTCGTATGTGGACTGTCAAAGGGGCTCCAGTAAATATTACCCCAGCTAAATTTGTCCTTATCTGTACCCCTAAATAAATTAAATATCCTTATGTCCCCATTAAATTACCATGCTCAACATTCATGTTTCACTTATCTTTAACTTTTTATGTAACTAGAACCAAATTATACCCAGAGAATTTCTACTGAACTAGGTTCTCTTCCTTTGTTGGACTGACATACCTATTACGCACACATCCTAGAACAACTGCATAAAACGTAATTCACAATCACAGTATATTGTCATCAGTTCCAGCACCATCTTAACACATTTTGAGAAGTGCATGTGCATATAGTGAATTCCACGGATGGGTAGCGTCTCCCAGGCCCATAAAGTATAGAAGGGCTCATGGAATTTTCTCATAATTGAAGAGAAAAATAGAATAAGTAAAACAGCCCCCCTCCAACAAATTGAAAATTAAAAAATTTGTTGCATGGATCCAACTTACCTGGGGTGTTGACAAAAGTTCAGCAACATTCTTGTTGAGTCTAGGATGCAGAAGTACAAAATAAATCTTCCAAAAGCAACCCTCACTTATATAGCCTGGACAAAGTTCAATCCTAAGAGCAGCTAATCTTGGCGCACGATGTTCAACGGCCAAAGCATGCTCTTGTTGCGCATCAGACATGTCAAAATCTAGAGGCAGAGATAAAACACTTAGGGCATTTATAACAGCATGAATAATGAAAAAAATATCTATGAAACGGGCTAATGAAAAAGTGTTGTCAGTGGAAGTAGAATTAATTAACTTAAAACAGTCATCCAATAAAATTATAATGGTGAGGATAGAGTTTCTATTATACAAATGAATTATAAAGGATGGGAGTTTGGCACTAAAACTAGCCAGCAATTCGATGGCATCCATGAGGATGCTTTGGAATGTCCCATTGAGCCACAAACTTGAAGTATTCGTATTTCTTTGCAATGTTGGTGTGTAGAGAGGAAATAGTTGGAATATTATGTAAGAACATATGTGTCCAAAATGCATTTAAAATAGCATATCTTGTGTCATTCTCACTAAACAACTTACTTTCTATCTTCTTCTTTTTTCCTAGTTGGTATTCACACACACTTGTCTCTTATGAGACTTGAACCCCTGACCTCCCTTTGGGAGGTAAGAGGTTGATACCGCTAGGCCACGGCCCGTTGATAGCTTACTTTCTATCTTGCCAAAAGAGATTTCATATTTAGCTTGTACTCCTTAACTTCTAACCTTAAGACCAAATACTAATTAAACAAATTGAATTTACATGACTAACCAAATACTAATTAAACAAACTGAGTTAACAAGACTATCTCTTTATTTATTTTTAATTATTTATTAAGATGACTATTAGCAAATCAATAAGATAGGTGACTCAGTTCTACACCTTATTATTTCACAGCACCAAAAACTTGGAAGCAAAGTCTCGACTCCAAGAACATGCAATAATTACGACAGGGCAGCAGACCCCATTCATAGATGAATATCATCAACATTTACTGCAACATTAATATAATTTCCTTGAATAATCTAAATTGCTAAGTCCTGTAAGTCCAATTCCATCAGTCTCCCATATCACACTGCCAAACCAAAAGTAGCTACATTTAAAAGGAAATATTCTCCAATAAAGAAACACATCAATACCCATCAGCAGCAAAATTGACAGACATACATAACTTATTGGAGAAATAAAGCAAGAAGATAATAAATTCAATTAAGCTGTGTTTGGAAGCCTTAGAGTTGGAATCGGAAAAAATAAAAAAAATAAATACTACTCCTATATGTGTGTGTGGGTATATTTCAAACATTGAATTAATTTTCCTCAAATTCCAACTACAAAACGCCGATTCTACGCTTCTAAACGCAACAGAGCTGTAAATTTCTAAGCTACTTACTATCGGCATCTTCATCATCAGGCAATGGAAAATTCAACCACGTCTCAGGATGCATTGTGATATCCATCACGAAGCCTACCACTTCTTCGGTGACACCAACAGCACCACCTCCCCCTGAATCATAATCCTCCTCCTCGTCCGATCCCAATTGTAGGAGATTCGAGGCAATCTTCGTAATCTCCGAAACCGCTATGTTGTTCGACAGCTTAGAAATGCCACTCCTGAACTTCCCTCCGATCTCGGCGAAGTCGCTGCGTATCCCGGAGATTCCCGCCGAGTCGGAGACTTCCGAATCGGAGCCCTCACGAGGACTCGAATCGGAGGGCTTTGGCGTCGGAGAAGAATCATCGGCAGGTGGCGGAGCGAGAAATGAAGCGACGCCCCATAATTGAAGAGTTAGGGTTTTGGAAAGCTCCGATAGGTCTTCTTTGACGCCTCGTCCCTGTGTAGACGGTGGTGGTTGTGACGATGAATCGATGTGATTGTGTTGTTCGACGACTTCTCTCTCTACATTTTCGTTACTTTCACTGTGATCGTCATCATCATCGTCGGGTCTGAGCGAGTTCGCGATCGATCGAGCAAACCACGACATTGTCCGTAGACGAGGTTTAGATCACCGGAAGAAACTTGTCCGAAGGTTCAAGTCGTTGGATGGATGAAAAGACTTCAAACGACCCCGTTTGAGATCAAATGTACAATAGTAATGAAGACAACAGTAGTTGTGTTGTACTAATGCAAATAATTTCTAGAAAATTAAACAATTTTACAGTATATTAATGCTTGAACTAATTAATATATGATAAAGAAAGATTTAAAAGTATTAATTATGAAATTAAATAAATAAAAAAAATATAGATATAACACATTTAAAATTTAAAATATATAAAATAAAAAAATTCGATTTCTAGGTGACCTTGGCTTAGTTTATCAATGCCTCAACCCCTCCAGCACAACTAGGCTTGACGACCTCCCCCAAAAATCCGAAGGATCCAAACAGGAACAATGCTACTAAGAAGTCGCCTCTTCAACCTCCAACTCGCTTCCCTGTTTTCATCTTCTTCTCCGCGTCAAAGAGCTTATCCTCCATTCTCTCTCTCCTTCCGCAACTCTCTTTCTCACTCCAATCCTCGTTCCCCTCCCCATGCCTCCGCCACAAAACCGGTTGTTTCCGATGTCGCCAAGTTCGTCCGAACCGTCCTCTTCGTCCCGCCCGGGGTCGAACCGGACGATGTCACCGACGACATGGTCCTACCCGGTTCTAACATCGTGGTTGGACCCTACGCCGGTGATGCCAAGATAAAGGAGGTCCAGTTCGTCAAGAGCAGCCCTCGGCCCAAGGATTGCCCCAAGGACCACCGTCCCGAGTTTGCGATGCTGGGTCGGTCCAATGTTGGCAAGTCTTCGCTGATTAACGCTCTCGTTCGCAAGAAAGAAGTTGCCCTAACTTCGAAGAAACCAGGTTCAAATCATTTGGGTGCAATCTTAATTGCGTTTCAGATTGTTAAATTTTGAGCTTTTTGAGTGTTTATTTTCTGTGCTAAATTGTGCAGGAAAGACCCAACTTATTAATCATTTCTTAGTCAACAAAAGTTGGTACCTTGTGGACTTGCCTGGTTATGGGTAAGCTTTACTCTCCTTTGCTACTGGAACTTCACAGCAGTATTACTCTCAATTTTCTCTCTGGACTGTCCTTTTATGCATTTGATTAGAGTACATGTGAATTCAGACAGATTATTGAACTTCAAGTGATGAATTTGTCAACCAGACGCATGCATTTGTATGTTTATTGATCATACAATTTCTGGGTTTATTTAGGTGTGCCAGTAGTTTTTTATAATATTTGTATAAAACAGTTGGGCGACACATCTGGATTCATAATAAATAAATTGGTGTACTTTGGTGATAAATTTTTTAAGCTCTTCATGAGTGACTGCATAAAAGTTGAAAAATCTAGGAGAATTCTAAATGTAGCTACATCTAGGACATTTTACTGCTGAATATCATAGTTGTTTCAATAACATTTTGGATCTAGAATCCTATAATCTTGCCGTCCAAAAGCATTGAATTGCTTACTAAAACTGTGAAGTTGTGGCCCAGGTCGCATTTTGACCCTTTTTTGCTTATGGGTCGTGGATCCTATTTAGTACTCTATTGTAGCCTGGTATACAAGGGCACTTATGGTTTCGAGTGGGTGGATTGAGAGAACACTGAAAATTGCAGAGAAGAGAGTGAGAGTGAGAGCTAGGGTTTGGAAGCTAAAACTTATAATATCATGTCTTTCGCAGAGTGAAATATTTGGCCGGATCTCCATCTTGGACGTAGATATAACTTGTGTTTAAACCATGCTAAATCTTTGTGTTCTTTGCGTGGCGTGTTTACTCTTCTGTCTTGATTCGCGATTTGTTATTGGTTCGCTGCATTTCTCGTAACAAAAACCTAAGGAGGGTAGAATCCCTTTTGACAGCTGGAATAGTGGAGCTGAAGTACCTATGTTAATTGCAGCCCTTTAGGACCAGTGGCTTAAAAAGCAATATTAACACTAAAATCAAAACCAGTTAAATGTTCTAAGTAAAACAATTAAACTTTAGTATCTTCTCATTTTTTAATGCAATGAGATGAGAGACCGGGGCTTTTTTGTGTTCTTCGGACTACTATGTACTTAGTTATTTCAGGTAATTTCGCTCTTCATTTTGTCTTTGAAGGGTTCGATGTTGCTTCCCTTTTTCTTTTTCTTTTTTTAGTTTATATTGGTTGGTTATTTCACTATAATATGTAAGAAGTAAACGAAACAAAAGTTTGCTTCATAAAGGTTGCCTCTGGCCAGCCGATCACTCTCTCTCAAACTCAATAGTTTTGTTGCAAACCATCTATTTCTTAACCGCACAGGTCATACAGCTCATTTTTCTTGTCAATGTTATAGGCTTTTTTATGGAGCTTTTCATGCCAATTGTTTGAACTTTGAACACATAATTTTCACTTACGTAAATAAAATTTCATGTCACATTAGATCAGTGGTTAATGACAGGTGATGATTGATAATCCTTTATGATAGGTGATGAATTATGTATCACGTGTAAAAATATTATTATGTATTTGCTCCCTCATTCTGTAGAATCCTAGAATTCTTTATCTAGTCGTACGATTCAACCTTGAAGATCTATACTGATCCAACATAGAATCTGGATTTTGACAACCTTGCTAAAAATGTTGTACTTAGTTAAAAAGACCATTTTGTCCTCTTTTTTTATTTTTAAGGACAGATTCAAGACTATGTTGAACGTATATATAGATCACTTAGTAGAACAGCTATTCTACCAGAACTTATGAGACGGCCCAGGTTTTTCAAGCCAGTGCGTCCTGTGATGAACCGAAGTTTGACCCAATAATAGATCCGAAATATGGAAGCGAAAACATAAACGAGGTCTCTAGGGATATACAACATCCCTAGGACGCCAAGGTGACCTTCCATGAGGCCATGGAACTTCACAAGAACCGACGCGGAATAAAAGATCAGAAAAAGACCAAAAGAAGCCCCCAAGGGCAAAATAATCTTTTTACATGAAAGCAACGTTTCAAGAAATATACATCATTCCCAAGACACATCTGTGACTTCCCACGAAGTCACGGAATCCAAAAGAAAACAAGCGAAGGCAATATAAAAAGGAAAACCGGACAAGTTTAGCCCCAAGGGCAAACTGGTAATTTTTCAGAAAGATCTAAGTGTAACCGAGTACACCAATGGATAGATAACGAAAAATTAATCAAGTCAGACTCAAAAATTGCTTGATTCGGAATTCGGACGAAGAAGTTATGGCCTAACGACGAAAAATGGACAATTTAAGCCCTAGGGATAAACTGGTAATTTTTCAGAAAGATCCAAGTATAACTGAGTACACCGTTGGATAGACGACGAAAAATTAAGCAAGTTAGGCTCAAAAATCGCCAAAAACGGAGTCCCGATGAAGGAGAAACAATCATTTGAAAATTTGACGTCGACGCGGCAAAGAGGCGACAAGGCAGCCCCTCATGCGTGCCCCCGTGTGGCTGTGCCCACGGCTGATGCCATGACAGCAGCACTTTGCTGCAACTGAGAGCACAAAAGGGCCTTAAGATGAACTTTTTTGGAAAAACACAAAGAAGAAACCCCCCCTAAAATCAAGTTTTCTACCCGACCATGTCGAACGAAAATTTTTAAATGCGCTGTGAAATGCCCAGAGTGCCCCTAGATCAGTTTAGGTCAAAAACAATGAAAATACAACTTTGCACCAAGTGTTCATTTGACCTTAAATGATGTTGTGTGCTAAAACAATTATGTATGCAAACATATTTAGTGATTTTAAGTGCGCGGGAATGACCCGTGAGCCCCAAAAATGCCCAATGCAATAATTGACCTATCAAAGCTCAAAAATGCCTAAAAAATGGACTTCTAAAAGAAAATTTGAAACTTAAAATTATAAAATGGTTTCAAATGATTGATTGGCCCTTGGCCACACTTCATGCATAAATCAAGAGACCCTATGGAATTGCTAAAGCTCACTTCCCACCACTCATGCAAATGTAGTGAAGCTAAAACATACTATTTTTCTATTTTTCAATAATATAGCTTGAAAGGAAAAGTACATAAATTCCAAAATAAATGTCCTTGACCCATGGCCTCATCTCATACATGTCAAATACATCCCAAAATGTGTACTTATTACATATTTATAACCAAATATACAAGTTTTGACATTTTAAACAAAAAATAACATTTCATGCTAACGTTTGCATGAATTTAAAGCTTCAAGTCTACATATCATCTAAGGCATGATGTGCATCCCAAATCATGGTTCCTGTACCTGAAAAATATCCCCACTACGTGGGTGAATAACATAAAGCTACTCGTAGGAGATAAGCATGCATAGACCTAACGTTTTACTGTTCATTAAATTGATACAAGTCAATACATACGGTCCATGTCACCTAGTGTCTATGTCAAAGATGAGACTCAGAGAGCATCCTAAGATACTTTAAAGCATTTATAGCATAAACCACATCATTCATGCAATTTAAGCAACATAGAAGCATGCTGTACAACGTAACAAGATATTCAATATACAAGTATACGTACATAAGTATACAATCAATATTGAAATGCACGTAAGACAAGTATACAAAACACAAGTATACTAGGTTACCTTGAAATTAAATCATCAATATACAAGTGTACATACCAAGTACGCTAAGCAATATTAAAATGGAAATGCAACATATATACAAGTATACATTCACAAGTATACTAAGCAATATTAACATACATGGCATACAAGTATACAAACTCAAGTATACTAAGCATTTTTGATATAGAAGGCGTACAAGTATACAAATCCAAGTATACTAGGTTATAATGAAATATCATGCACCAACACACAAGTTAAAAGTAATCCACAACTACAACTAGGAATTGAATGCGAAATCAACCAATGGCGGAAAGACAAAGGACATAAGGTCTCAATGACCAAGCAAGCGATTCCGGGTTACTAACCCTCAAGGTACTACCTAGTGCGCACTAAATCCAGAATATAACCGAGATGTTGGTGATTTTGGGTTACTAGCCCTCAGGGTACCACCCATTGCGCACTATATGTTATAGAGAGAACTCTTATCCCCCGTACTAGAGCCATGCCTAAGCCGTAACATATTCCAATGTCCAGACAAGCTTTCCTAAAATCATCAGGAAATCATCAACTTGTGCAACAAGTATATCACATATACACAATGCACAATATCAATTACCATGCACAACCAAGTCATGGAATACACACAAGATATGCTCTAGACATTCAACCTACAATGGCATATTAAATGTCATATAAGTAAAAAGTGTAAACTAACAAGTTAATTTATAACTTTTACTCATGGAATATTATCATGTAATCATATAAACAAGTTCCAAATTATAAAGTAGGCAAGAATACTACATCAATACCTAATAACCTCAATGGAAGCATAAAAGGGGAATTTAATTAACTTAAATAATTAAATTCTCAAGATTACAAAGCAACTCCAAAAATTCTACAAATCATATATGTCAAGGGTCATATCAAGGCCTAATTTAATTTCATGCTACAAGTTAATTCTACACTAGGTGTCACTAGGTGAATTAAATTTCATACAAGAAAATAATTAAATAAAGTATTCAAGACTCATTCAAATATTCTCAATTTAATATAAGGTAAAGAACATAGCAAGGCCTAATTAAAAAATACATTACCAGTTAATTATACACCAGTTACAATTAGGTAAATTAAACTCAATGCCAAGAAAATAACTAAAAGTTTTCAAAACTTATCCAAATATTCTCAATTTAATATATATGATAGAACATGTCAAGCTCATCAACCATATCAAGTTAAAAATCCAATTAAATGAATAGAACACTTAAAATAAAATTAATTAATCTAATTAATTAATTTTTTCTAAATTTTAAAACAACTTCAAATGTTCTCAAATTAACATATGTTAAAAAACATATCAAGGCCTAATTTAATTATAACATTGCAAGTTGATTTCATGCTAGTTACAACCATGTGAATTAAATTTTCATACAAGAAAATTATTAAATAAAAGTCTCAATACTTATTCAAATAATCCAAATTTAATATATGTTAATGAACATATCAATGACTTATTTAATAGCGTGCGACAAATTTTTTTTTTTTTTTCCTAGTTGGGTACTCACTCATACTGCCTCCACTGAGGTTCGAACCCCTGATCTCCCTTTGGGAAGTAGGGGCCTTGTACCGCTAGGCCACAGGCCTGTTGGTCATGCCACAATTTAATTCCAAGCTATATACAACTATGAAAATTAAATCTTATACATAGAAAATAATTTTCTAGAATTAATATAAAAGCATGCATACAAGTTGTATAAGTATGAAAAACATTCAATACAACACATATATAAACCTAAAACATCCCCTACCTCAATTTGAGATGAAAATCTCAAAAGCCACCAAAAGGAAACCGCCCCGAATCCGACGATACTTCGGGGTTATGACGGGACAACGAGAGGAACAACAATCACCCTTGAGGCACCACGAAAATCCAAACCCGAACTCAAAAATGGTCGAAACCGGATTCTAATAGAGGGAAAACGAAGATCTTGCCAAGCCCGACAATAAAGTCTAAGTCATCGAGGCAAAAATCAAAGAAGAAAAGGGCCTAAAGTGAAAAAAGAAGGTGGCAGCCATGGGAGGTGGAGAAGAAAACTTAAAATTTCTCTCACCTACCCCCTATTTATAGAAATCTCAAAAAGTGCCCCGAATGGGTTCTGTCAGGTCCAGAAAAGTGAAATCTACGCAGACGCGCTCAAACAGTAAAACACCGTGAATGAAAAGAACCAAAATAAGAAAAAATAAATAACGGAAGAAACGGCGTCGAAAACTGAGTCCCGTGCAGAAAGATATGCCCCGAACAAGTTCGGCGGCAATCAGGGTCAGAAACCCTAAAACCAGAGAAAACGACCAGAAGACAATTCTAAAAATACGCGACTCGACGAAAAATAAAAATGAATCCCGTACGAGGATCCAGGCTCAAAACGAGGCATTTTGCAATAACTTTCGTTAATTGCACAATGGCCCCTACAAAAAGGGATGAATGTAAAACTGGCCCAGAATAAAAATATCTTTCAAAAGATATTTTCTTAAAAACCCCTAATCAAAATATCTCCAAAAGATATTTATGAAAAATACTCCAAGAAATATCAATGTTTCTGAAGATTCCTTTCATCCACGCCCCTACAGGAAAAAGAAACAACCAGCAAGCTTTTCTCTAAAAGTAAAGCTACGCGTTTCGAGAAAATCAACTGGAATGAAAACTCCAACTCCGAACATGAAAAGTGAGGTTACGCAAAAAAAAGTGACGAACGGGGAAAAGACGAAAAGTGAATAGTGTCGAAAAAACGAAAATGTGGAAATGATTCGGTCCTTTAAGAAAGTTGTCAATATAAAGGAAAGAGTCGCGGAAACCATTCCCGAGCACTCGAGACGACACTAAGCGACGAGAAACCAAACTCAAAAAAGAAAAGTCAACGGAAAAAATTTATCCATAAAATCTGAGAAAAAGGAAAGAAAGGAAAATGACGAGTCATTACAACTTAGCATTTCACACAATTGGCGTTCCAACTCAATGTGTCCAGACATGCAGGCCGTCATACTTTCTCGATATAGCTATTGGATCCTTCCAGTGTTAGGTTACAATACTTATTTGTGATTTTCACGATGGGGGTTTGTTGGCAGTAAATCAATATTTTCCCTTTTCTTATATTCTCGTGTTTTTTCCATTGGGATATTGGGGAGAATGTAAATCACTAGAAATAAAGCTTTGTCCATTTAGCTCAGCCATTGTTTAGTGGTTTGTTTAATTTGCATGAAAAAAATAATAATAATTTAGAAAACATAATTAGAATTTTATTTTTGTTTGTTATTCAATGCAATTTTCCGATTCGATGGCCAAATCAGACACGCACAACCTCCCCTTCTTTGTGACAGTCCTTTGTGGGTGCCGTAGAGCTACCTTTACTACTTGTGTTGTAGGGGGGGGGACCTCTTTGTGGTTGAAAGAAATCCCCTGGAGCACCATTAATCAAGATTGAGTATCTCAGTGGTCATTGACATTCATTCTTTTGCAATTCAGTTCCACCTATGATCATAATTTGTTGGTAATCATAGGCTTCTTGGGGATGGCTTGATATTAAGTTCATTCATGAAGGCCAGAGTTACATCGACTGCCTGCCTGATGCATTTATCCTTTTGCTAGCGTGGTGATGCTATAAATTACTACCTCCATTTTATGACAAATGTTGCACCTTGAATTTTACAAAATTGATCCAACAAAATTTAAACATTTATTTTATTGTTTTGAAAAAATCTTTTATGAAATTTGTAACATCTCAAAAAGGAAAGTGGACATGTATGTTGGGACATTCTAAAAAAGAATGTAGCCACACTTCTAATGGGATGGAGGGAGTATAAGATATTAGACATGGCAATGGGACATACTTCTTGATCTACCTGTTTCATCTAACAATGTAGCTTTCTTTTTTAAATGGATATCTTTTTACAGGTCAGTTTTTATTTGTAAAACGATTGGTCAAATAACAAGGTTATTGTTTGGTGCAATGGTAGAATGCTCATCAAGTTTGAAAATGTGGATTCAAGTATGAGAGCAGTTACTTTGTGTAAATAATGTCAAAAGTTAAGTTTATGCCCTTACATTGGTGGGGACCAACACTCAGTTAGGGCTTCACGATTGGTCAAAAAAATTTTGAATCAATGATCAACAGAATTCTTTACTTATAAAAAAAAAAAAAAAAATGATCAGCGGAATTCTTTGTCGATGGCATAATAGTTCGATGTAGAGAAGAACATCCATTGTAGAGACACGGTCACACCGACAGTTAATAGTATTTGGGTCAATGCAAGTTGGATATTTTGTAAATATCTTTTTTTATGCATATGTGATGAAATATTCCTTTACTTATGTTTTGATAACGCGTGTGTAATTGGTCCATTTTCTTGATCATTTAATTTCCCAAACCACTTCAGTGGTTATTACATCCCCTTGTTTTTTTCACTTGAAATTTGGCTTCCTGATTGAGAGATACACTATATTGTGGATGTCATTTGTATGGAATGTCAGGAGAGTTTGAACCAAGGGCGTGAAAAAAATAATAATTATTATTATTATTAGTATTAGCCCACCCAAAAAATTATTAGTCCACCCCATTGACAATTCCTGGATCCACCCTTGGTTTGAACACTGCCTTGTGCATTCTCATGTGTTTTTTTTTTTTTGAAAGATAAACCTTTAAATGAAAGTGTATAAAGAAAAATTGTGCATTCTCATGTTATTCAACTAGGTCAGTACTGTCATTGGAGAAAAAAATGCCTTTTTGGTTCCCCCATGTTGATTTGATTGAGGCCTTTTTAATCCAAAAAATAGTCAAATGGCCAGATGAACTTAAATCATTTGGACTGGCCAATGGACTGTATTAGTTATTCAGGTATAAAATAGAGATGTTTTTGTTAATAGGTAGCTCACTTTCCCAGGACTTTTCTCTCAGTTTTGTCTAATTTCATTTTTACTCTGATTTTTTAAAGACTTTCAATAAAACATTACGGTCCAGGCAATTAGAATAATTTGCAGTCACATTGGCCTGTGTCTCCAGAAAGGATAAATAAATGTTACAAGCAATTTGATTTGCTATTATATTCCATATTTCCGTTAAGCGCCTCATTCGTTCACTGTTGACGTCATGTGTTGATACCTTGCCACATAATCGAATATGTGCAGTCAATTGGATGCTTTGTGCAGCTAAGCTCTGTGTCTTTAATTTGTTCACTTTGTTTACAGGTTTGCTCATGTCCCAGACTCTGCTCGGATGGATTGGTCCTCATTCACCAAAGGCTATTTTTTGAACAGAGATACTCTAGTTGCTGTTCTACTTCTGATTGATGCTAGTGTACCACCTCAAAAAATTGACCTTGACTGTGCTAATTGGCTCGGTCGGAACAATGTATGCTTCTTGCCATTTTCTTTTATTAATTTATTTTACCTTCGGATACTCTTTCTGTCACCAGCTATGTTACATGGACTCGGGTATGTGTGTCGGACATAGGTATGCATCCATGTGTCGGACACATATCTCATACTCATGTCCAAGCAATATGTGTCCGACACGGGTACTTCACTACTTTTGAAGAACCCATGTAACATAGGTCACCAGTGCTACCACTGGCACAATGTTAACTGTTATATTTTCTAATTGTTTTTCTGCCTTTTTGCATTACCTTGCAGATACCAATGACTTTTGTTTTCACAAAGTGTGACAAAGTGAAGGCGGGTAAAGGAAAAAGACCTGATGAGAACATCAAGAATTTCCAGGAGCTGATCAGAGAAAACTACAGGGAGCATCCTCCGTGGATCATGACTAGTAGTGTCACTGGTTTGGGTAGAGATGACCTCCTTTTGCATATGTCACAACTGAAGAACTATTGGGAGAACTAGGAGCCTGGTGGAACATTTTGTGATGTCTTCTCCTTTGGAGAAGGTAATGCCATAACCTCAAGATTTTGATAGGACCTGCTAATTAGTGATCTACTGATATTGTATCATATATCCAGAGGACCTGTTCAAATGAACCAACTGAAGTTTGTAATTTTGTTTCATGGTGGGATGTAAATTCTCTGTATCTATCTATCTAGTTGATTGTGTTGTACATTATTCTCGAAACATATTCAATTCACTGAAATCAATGTTTGCTTTATCTAGCAAGTTTACCGGGTCAATTGTCGGTGTTGAAACCTGAATTAAGCAAACCCTCATTATCATCCTATTTAAAGAAGCACTTCCTCTCTTGTCCTATTCTTGACTTGGTCTTGTCTATTTAATGCTGCTTCCGACGTATTAGGAGTGGCGCTTTCAATTCACAAGTTGTTGCAGTTCTGCATTCCTTCTGGTCTTTCTTTTTGACGCTTCAAACTTTTCTGATGGTCCAAGTTTGAATTCTCGTTAGTGATTTTCTGATGTCGTATGCTACTATTCAAATTATACATTTTTATCACCTTCCCGCTTAGGTACGTCGTGTTCCTGTCTCGCCAATTACCTAATGATTCATGATTTTTTGTTACGGAGTCAGTTATAACTGTGTAAATAAATACATTGTAAACGCACCATCATTTTAAGGGTTTTGTTCAGCTGTTGGAAATGATTGAATCCTAAACAAGAGTTGAGAGAAAATGTGATTTATGTATCATAACGGACTGGTAATGATGTTACTTGTTTTGAGTAATGCGGCAGGTGTTCAAAGTAATGATAATTTCTGGAGATGAAGACGAAGCATTGTTTGCAACAATTTGTACTGATTTAGAAAATGTCAAATGAAAAACATTCATTTTTCATTTTAAAATCGTGGTCAAATAAGGACCGCTTATACAGTCGTGTTCTTTTTGTATATTAAAAGATAGATGAGAAACTGTAGAGTTCTTCTCAATGATTTGATATCACTGGATTCCCAAACCGATAATCTTTAGCGAAATTGGCATGGTACATTTTTTTTTTGCTACTTTATTCATAAATAAGGAAAATAGATATCCAATTTTAGTTGTTAGGCTTATTTGTTAAAATGAAACAAATATGCCATTAACGGTTCCAAGTGGACTCTACAACGGGATCCACTCTAGACAATCAATGACCTTTTTCACACAAATAGGCTTAACTAGTTGGCTAAATATCATATCATGACTCAAAGAACAATGCTATTTTGTCATATTTCTCTAATGGATGTATATAACTAATATAATTAATAAACTTAAACATGAGTCCGGTCTAAATATAACTCTCAATTTAATTGAAAACTACTAAAGATTCTACTGCTGATTTAGTAGTGCTAACTACAAAGTATTGTCCCTTGTTAAATTCATATTAAATTCTAAAATCGTCCTTCATTAACTGCATTAGAATTCGATTAATTGCCTGATATTTTATACCCCTTTAAGGGAAACTTAGTGATGACTAGTTGTTCTTATCAAACACAACTAAAAAGGAACAAGGAAAAGTTTTCAATTTTAAGCACTTAATTATTATTCTTTACCCAAATCATACGTTATACAACAAATGGAAGTGGACAAGTGAAGCTTTTAGAAACTCCAAGAAATGCCCACATTATGTGAAGAATGGTTAGAATCACCTTGACTGAATTGTCTTCTCTGTCCTCGATATTACCGTGTTGCAATAACTGTTGTACCATGAAGCAACCATGCAAAATTTAAGACAAAAATGTGACTTTCAACAAGTGAAATTTTAGGGCATCTTTAAAGGACCTCTCAGCTTCCTCGTTAAATTTTTGTACTGTTTAATTGAATGAGGGCTAGGTTGTCCAACAACACATAGAACCACCCCAATTATTGTCTACACATAATGCTCATGCTCTCACCTGGCCTTCCAGCTGTTGCCACTCAATTCCATCTGTTTTTTTTACCCGAGTAATGTTGCACTTCACGATTGATTTTTTGTACGATTCCAATTGTCCGTGTCTAATAAGACGATAAGGGCTTTTAGTCCATAATAGATAAGAATAGAGTCTCTTGTGAATTGTGCAATGAAAAATGATAAGAATAGAGTCTCTTGTAAAGTTAGAGTGACACTGGATTTTAGCGAGGAAACCAATTGGAAAATTTCAAGAATTTTTGCGTTGTCCCAAGCGAAACAATCCACTATGTTTGAAGCAAAGTATAACTTACTTTGAGTCAGACTCACAACCCTTCACTCTACCAAGACTCAACTTGCAGAATGCCACCAACTTTGCAACTTCCCGTCTAACAGCTAACGATTTTAGGCTTACTCCTTGAACCCCATAGAAGGTTAACTAATATATTAAAAACACTTCACGAATGCCTTGACTCCTTCAAAGTGTAATCACCCTTCAAATGAGGTTTTGATGTAGAAGGATTAATGAATTCTGCTTTCTCTGATCGATATTGATGTAATCCTTAATAACTCGTATTCCGATCAGAATAAGAACGACACACTAAATCACTCGTGTGTATAGTATGTATGCTCTCAGAAAAATCTCACAAAATTGGCTCTCAATTAATAAATTCCGAATTTTGATGCAAAAAGCCGTAAAACCCTAAGTGAGAAAATATGTATTTATAGACTTTTGAAAACCAAATTGTAGTTGGAAAACAAGTTAATTTCGTACATGATCATTATGGCGAAAGTCTGTCCAAAAAAAAAAACCCAAAACAGACTAGGAATAAAACTTTCTTTTTGGTCTATAGAGTGCAACCGGTTCCACTTGGCTAGTATGTTTTCGTGCTAAAGAATTTATAAAAATCTTCAACTGTGCAACCAATTCCATGGGGTGGAATCAGTTCCACAAAGGCAATTTGGAAAACAAGTTTATACTTGTTGAAGATGGATTCTGCGCAACCCGGATCTGATCTGACTTCCTGAATAAAGAGAAGAAAAAGTGATCCTACAAACACCGGTGTGTTACCGGTGGAGTAGGCTCCAATGAACAAGTCAGTGTGAATGATAATCTCTCTGGAGAAATCGAGATATTGAGTTAGGGTTTTTTGCCTACCTCCAAACGTCAATTAGCCCTCCCTATTTATAGGACTTGGGTCAGGATGTTACGTAGCGTCCACGTCGTCCTTAATCCTTATCATAATCTGTTGGCCTAATCCTTATCGTATTCTGCAATTCTTATCGTAATCTGTAACCCTTATCTTAGTCGTAGTCCTTATTTTAGTCTGTAGAGCCTATCTCAATCTTATGAGATAGCGCGTTACTTTAACGATCTTCCCCTATCCACGGGTAATTAAATTATACTCATCAGTTGCCCCCCGTTTCGGAGGATTGCTTATCAAACCACCGGAACGTTAATTCCCAAATATGACATAATAACAAATAGCTGGAATTGTAGAACCGTTCACCCTGTATTTCTACAATAAGTTGGTTTGATTATGAAATAGTAGAGCCTTATCCATTAACTTGACTTAGATTGCCACTTCGCGGATACAGTCGGGGGTCGAGCTGATCGGTCAGCTTGCGGGGGTCCAGGGGGCAGCGCCCCCAGGAAAAATTTTTTGTTTTCCTATTTTTTTTTTTTTGTAGGACCGTAGTTGCCTTTGAAATATTTGTCGTAGTGCCTCATTGGCAAGACCGTGGTGCCATATTGACAGTTTGTATATATAGCAGGCTGCCATGCTGGCAACCTACCTTTTGGCATATAGGTAACTCATGCAGGGCTGCCAATGTGGTTGTCCTATTCGAACTCCGAATCCTATTCTACCTTGTAAAAGTAAAATAGCCCGCAAAATAGCCCGCTGAGAGCTGCTTGTCCCTCACAAAACAGATTTCTATTAGAATTCCACCAGAAATACTTTCCTTATCTGTTTGCATTCTTCTGCTATAAACCGAGATGGTTCGAGTAAAATTCATTCAAATTACTTCCATCATCCAGAAAGCCAGGTAGTGCCAGTCGTAGTGATGTGGTAAGTTCCATGCCTTCGTTTTCTTCCTGCTTCTATTTAATTCGTTGTTGCTTTTTCCTCCAACTCAGTATACCAAGACCAAAGTTAGAAAATTTTATAGGTCACTGTGAAGCTAGGCTCTTGCATACAGTAGCGTATGTTACTGCCAGCATGTTTTACCCAGAATCTAACACTATGTCAGACGAGGAACACCGCCAGTCTGATTCGGCTCTGTCAGAGACACATCTGGTATAGGATATAGCAGGCTCCCTTACCTCACAGGATCTGGATCGGATCAGGCAAACTTATTCAATTCCAGACAGTGTTGCTCTCAGACTTCCTTCACTTGATGATAGAGCGTCCTCCTTTTACCCAACTGAGATTTGTTTCTATGAGTCTGCTTTCATTGCCGGATTGCGTTTTCCAATCCCTCTTTTTATTAGGGAACTGTTGCGTCACCTTAATCTTGCTCCGACTCAACTCTCCCCGAATGCCTGGAAAACAATGATGGGTTGTTTAGTTCTGTGGCGAGCTTGTTGTAATACCTTGCTCACTATCCAAGAGTTTCTTCATTGCTACATTCCCAAAAGGGGTGACTGGCTGTACTTCTCCCCACGGGACAGAATTCTTATCTCTGGAATTCCCCTTAAGCACAAACCATGGAAAAACAGTTTCTTTTTCGTTTCTGGTGATGGCTGGGAGTTCTTTCCTGAAGAAAGTGCTTTCCTACGAATAGGGACTTCCATTCCTCATGCGTGGTGTAATTAGAATTCCACCGGTGAGTTGTCCATAATGATACCCTTTTATGTTTTAAAACTCAAAGTAAATTTTGTTTGAGTTATTAACAAAGTTGTTGTTCTTTCAGGCGTTAAAGAGATTACCGTTTCATCTGATGATCTCCAACGAATAAAGGAAGCCTTTAACTACCCAGTGAGGGAATGGTCTTCACTCGTGACACCTCAAACTTTGTTTACCCATGGGATTGGTCCTCAGCCAGTTGGCAAGTCCTCTGTAATTATATCCCGAAAACTTAATAAGAGGCTTCTAGCTCAGTTCAAAGAAGGCTCAAGTGACTTCCCACCTACTTTCCCCGCCAAGAGAAAAAAAAAAAAAAGCCTACTATTACAACACAAAGGGTCTTACCTGTTTCAGTTGTTTCTCCACATGAATCCGACTCGCAATTCCCTCATCAGCTTGTGGATGGGACTATGCCACTCCTTACTGAAGCAGCGGTATTCCCCTCAGATCCCTACTCTTCAGCAGCATCTGTTCTAGGCAATGCTCAACTTGCTTTTA